TGACCAAAACTGCCTTCCTTCTCCGAAAGGGTGCTATCCGCACGGTGGGCAGCAGAAAACCTGGCTAGACACGGTACGCAAGGATACAGAAAACCTTGGTCTCCGCTCCGTCTAAAGCAATCGCTAATGAAAGTTAAGCTGGATAAAAATCTGCACTGATATCGCCGCAGACTGCCGAGTGTGGAAATTTGATTTTTTCATGAAGCCAGCTTATCTTCTCCCAGGAACCAGTCACCGTAAAGTGAGTACATAAGTATCTCGACCCTTAGCAGCTCTCATATTACCATTTGTAATCGGACGACGTTAATTAGGAATCTAACGAAAAGAAATTGGGGATTTTTATCGAAAAAAATCAGTGTACACTATAGTTAAGTTTAACATGAATGTTCATGTTACTGACAGCTCATATTTTTACTGTAAATGAATCAGTATGTTTCAAAGGGATAACTCTGAAAGTTTCATTAATTCCTCAAAAATCACAGAAAAAACACTGGCGACGAAATATAAAACTAGGCATCACGTGATGAGAAAACTTTCCCCTTTTCAACCAATTGTGTGGATAAAAGCAAACAAAACTTGTGGATATATATAACATATAATATATGTTCGACAATGCCAATATTGGTGACAAGGGTTCCGTTTCTGGTCTACTCCACGTCCAATTTGGATACTCACACTTCGTGTACACTGCGAGCTTACTGACGATACAGCTGATACGCTGTATGTCCGCACACAAAAATAGTATACCACCTGTTGCGACTAAAGAAACCGGACAGTATTCAACGACAAACAGAGCAGATATTGCAGTTCTGTTGTATGACTGCATCATGAATTGTTATTGATTTCTAATTAAGTGTAAAATATACACTGCAGTTGGGGAAACAAGCACAATGGATGTTTTATCTTCGTTTATTTGTAATTCCATTTGAGCGGCAATCTCGAGTTTTGCGTTCACAACGACGTTTAGGTCTTGCTCGCCCTAGAAATGGTTTTGATAATAAAGTCATTTAGGGCCTCTTTGATGATGCTGCTGTATTTGAACCACACACAGAGCACAGAGAAAACAGTGTGAACAGACAGGAGGGGAAGTAGTGCATCTAGCAGTGAAATGTGGAAAGAAGTTATAACCCTCGAATATAAGTGCATAGATGAACAAGGTTGCTTGCTCAGAACAAGCTTTGAAAGATTGGATTGTGTTGATATTGTGTGCATATACAAGGTGGGAGTATCTGATTAGCTGTCCAGTGATCAACTGGGTAATATGTTTGCGCTTCATTTGTTCCATGAGCACGACGAAATTTGCCCTATTCTGTGATCGAATTACGTGCAGGATTACTCCGTTAAACCAAGGTTGGTGAAGATCTGTCCGTCAGGATGCATCCTCAGAATCTGGAACTATTGGTGAACAACGAATTACATTCCCCGATCAACTTACGGGACCCACTAGGCTATTCACTGTTCCGGCGAAGCTGATATCCACTTTAAAACGCCTTACTGTGACGAATCGTAACAGGGGATGAATTCCATGGTTGCGACAAATACCTGTTCAATTTTTGGAACCAGAGATTCACGTCCGTAAAAGTGGGGTGGGGAAATAATACAAGGTCGTGCTAGGATAGGTGGGTTACTGAGCCGGATACCACACAATACACCTACCAGCAGAAATAAGCGGTAGTGACGGGGTTCAAACTTTGCACTTTAACGGTCGGAGAACAGCACCTTGAATCAACTGACTTCAATACAGTGTAACTGTATGCCCGTATTCGTGTAGTTGTTTTCTCGCCATGTGCATATAGAGCGCTTTCGGTTGTTCAGAATGATACTGTGGATTTGTCCTTTACAGAGCATACGAAGGGTTAACTGAAAAACCAAGAAGCATCAGACAATTGTTTCGACCGGGTTGGGTCCCATCAGCGGTGCGAATCCATCGACCCATATGAGGACCACGAAGGCGGGACCTCATAGATGGAACTGTACTACTCACTCAACTACGGGGAAGCGTGTTGCGGGTATCGTACTTCGTTTATCTCAGCACTAGCCTTCCAAGCTATAAATCAACTAGAAACCTACCAACTTGACTATGTTGAAACAGCTGTCTAGTCCTTCCCAGCTATTAAACTCACAATTCGTTTGCTCTGTACATGACGAAATCTGCTATTTAATTTAATCAAATTTCCTACCAGAATCAACTTTGGAAGCCAGCATCACGTAAATTAGTGTACTATACGTGACGGATGAAATGAACAGAATGGATTGCTTTCATCTCCTCCGTCCAATCTCTTCCTACCGCAACTGGTGTGTGTGCACATGAGAGAAAAAGAACAATACGATCTAACTTTTAAACGGTCAAGCGAAATGTGGCCTTAAAGTTTTACCTACAGTTTACACCAATCCATCGGGTTTATTGGCTCTTCAATTATTTCAAACAGACCAGGCTCGCTTAATTATGGCACACGCCCAAGTGGGATAGTGAATAAAACAAGTTTTTCGTTTGAATAAAATTGAATACAAACGCAAATGGGCGCACTTCAAGTGGAACCATAGGGTCAACAGATGAAAGCTGCTGAGATCCTATGCGGCTTGGGAGAAGCCATTAAATTTGAACTCAGTGCTCATTTCAGAAAAGAAAACGAACACAGCAACACTCACCGGAATGGACCGTAGAAGCTGGAAGCGAACTTAGCCGAGTAGGCCATGACCGAAACGCTCCCGGCCAAACCGCAATCGCGCAAGGCAGTTTTGATCGCGTGAACCCGTCCATCCATCATGTCAGAAGGTGCGACTATATCGGCACCTAGTGAAACGCAGATGACCCAAAGAATGAGCGATAAGGAACTTATGAAAACAAATTTGGAGTGCGTAAGAGATCCGATCCGATTTCGAATAGCTACGAAAAAATACTGAAATAATTTATTCGAAAGTTTGATGAGGCAAAGTTCCTAGCCATCATTCAAAGCACATGAATTAAAGACAACTAGCACGTTTATTATTGTAAACCAAAGGTTTGAGACGGAATCCACAGACTGAAATCAGGGGAGGAGGGGTTTAGATGATTGCTACTGTAAATATATTGGACTCAATCAGATTATCAAAGATTCATTCGCGAAACAGAGACATCATTTGACTAAATAACGCAAGGGTCCTATGTGACGCATCACTCAACATCCCAGGATGCGACTAGACTGCCAGAAAGGCTGGGCTGGTTGGTTAAAGCATAATGTAAGCAGAGTGAAAAGCCTTGGGTTGATTGGAACGCAATTTTCCACTAGGGCCGAAACGAATACAGTGGACAGTCAAGTCCATACAATCATTGCTATTCGGGCAAATACCAGAACGGTGCGAATGCCATCAAAAGTTGATTACTTGAGGGGAACCTTGGAAAAAAGGGAGATTTGTATGTATGTACTTATCTGGGTTAAGAATATATGGAATGAACTTAACAATCTTGTAGTTCCACGGGCTTATAGCAGTGCTGAGATATCAGAGCTTATCAGAGCTGAAGAATGACGGAATCCATCGATGAAAAGCATGCTCCTTCTACGATAAACAGTCCTCAAATTCTAGGGGTCAAAACTTAATGTTTTAAGTAGAAATACAAGAATACAAAGAACCCTGAAGAAAGTACCGTAGATTAGACAGAATAATAACGTTTGCGATCCACCAAATAGAGGGCCTTTCGAGGGCTAAGACGTGAACGGAGAAATGGAACGGCCTGCTTCAGTGATGAAAAGAACTGTTCACTTGAATAGATCAGAAGTGTAGAAGGATTACGGGTAAGAATGAAGGTACTAAGGGTTTATCAATCCCAAACCGATTACCTTGTGTAAACGTGGACAGTTATACTAGCTATAGTATGAAATGAATGAAGTAAAAACGTGCATGAAAATATCAATGAGTAACAAATGAATATGGAACTAAACTAAGATGGTTTTATGTATGAACAAGGTGTTCCGGAATTTCATACAGATATGTCCAAAGGGTGTGCCAACATTCTGTAGCTGAACGGTTGCTTTACACTACATTAATTTGCTTCATTTAAATTGAACTCCGACGGTGTGTGATACTTTTTTGTGGGATTACGACATACTTTCAACCAATCGTTAATGGATCAGAAAACAAATAGCTATGGAATTAACTCTGCGACCACACTGATGTAGAATGCATTACAGTGAAAAGTGGCAGTCTCTTGTCACTGATTCGCCTAATTAAGTGCACAATCAGTCCCATATTCTTGCTATTCAGGGACATACTAGGACACCGAGTTAGCGGATTCGTTAGTGCGAGTTGACCGATTGCGCTGGTCACGTTTAGTTTTCCAAATGGGTACCTGAGGCCTTGAGACAGGACATACTTCGCGATAGCCCATATCGATGAAGGGTTTTTTAACTCTGAGTGAAGCAGCGAGGTCGCTAGTAACGTGACGAGTTT